CCCCACTGGGGTGCCTGGCCAGCCTGGGTGAGGGGATGATGGCTGTTTGCAGCTGGTCACACACCCTTCAGGGTGGGGGTCCCCACTGGGGTGCCTAGCCAGTCTGGGTGAGGTGCTGAGGGCTGTTTTCAGGCTGGCGGGTGACTGAAGCTCCCAACCGCTCCTTTTTTTCTTTTTTTTTAAATCTGGGCCAGCTTTAGCTCTGAGGTTTGGCTCCAGCTCTGAGGCCTCGGCTGCATCTCCATTATACCTTATTCCTCTTTTTGGCCTTTGTGGTTAGCTCTATTGCCTAAATTTGAATCATCTTCTTCCATCCTCTGGAAGGCATTTTCTTTTGCATTTACTAAAGAGTACCTTTACCTTCCATTAGCATATTTGAATCCAATATCTTTATATAACAAGAAATTATAACCTAGATGCTGCTCTCTCCTCCCAAATTTAAAAGCCCTTCTATGCTACTCTTTTATTTACAAGTTATTGGAAATTTAATACAGAATTAGTGGTTCTGTTCATATAATTAACTTATTGTTTTCAGTCTTTATATAAATTAATTTGACTCTCACTTAATTTTGTTTCACATAGTTGTTTTGTAACCACTATACTTAAGCTAATTTCATTCCTACTGATAATCTGTAGTCCTTTGGTTGATCTCTTACCCCCCTACCTTTGCAACTCTTTTATTTCCAAGTTATTGGAAATTTAATACAGAATTAGTGGTTCTGTTCATATAATTAACTTATTGTTTTCAGTCTTTATATAAATTAATTTGACTCTCACTTAATTTTGTTTCACATAGTTGTTTTGTAACCACTATACTTAAGCTAACTTCATTCCTACTGATAATCTGTATTCCATAAATTCTTAGCTTTAAAAAATAACTTGTCATTTCTGCTTTGAATACATACACATTCATGTACATTTGTACAAATGCAGAAATAGCATCCTGTGCCCATTAGAAAATTTATTTCTATATTGTAGAGCATTTTTTTCCATGTGCCCACTCTTCCTTATTAATCAACAATACCTTATGGTATTCCCTCTAATCAACCAGTGTAATGCCAATTCATTATTACCATGTTTACATAATATTTTATGATGTGGCTGTGCTATTTACACTTGAAAGCCTTCCATATACATTCTCAATGAATTGCTATTATAACAGTTATACAAAAATATTTTGGAATTGTTACATTAAAATTCTGGTTCTCTAACAGCCAGACAGTGTTTTCCCCCAGGGGACATTGAGCAATATCCAGAGACATTTCGGTCTGTCACATGGAAAGTGTAGGTAGAATCCAGGGATGCACAGGAGAGACCACAGCACAGACAATGATCTGGCCCAGAATGTCAATAGTGCAGAGACTGAGAAACCGTGACTTAAAGAATATGCGTACTGGAAATGTTTATAGCTGTCTTCAGGTTGGTTTCCCCATGTTGTAACACTTTACTGTTCTGCCGGAAAAGAAAATAGAGTACCCCTTAGCTACCTGTTTGGAAGTTCTAACCCTGGTCAATGTGACGCCTTATGTTTTTCCCCAGACCGACAGATGTGAAAGAATTTTTTTATTGTCTTCTGAGTGTTATCTGAGTTTGATTAAAAATTCATATATTTAATGGCCTTGTTAATTTGAATATTATTTTTTATGACTATTATCCTTTCATTGTCAGCTTTTAAAATGATTTCTAAAGATTATTATGTTGGGGGAGGTAGAAGACGGTGATGGGGATAT